AATTTTTATTTTTTTTGTCAGACGGCACGGCACGTCCTAAATTTTGTAACAGTTGACAATTTTTACACTCTAGGAACGAAGATAATCTACGAACTATATCCTTTTCCTATACCGTTGAGAGCAATTGAACGGTAGTCTAACGCATCATAAGACTTTTTAATTCTTGGAATGAAAGCAATTACCGCAAGTAAAAAGACTAAAAGCTTCGCACTACGCCAGAATTTTAATACTTTCCCAATCATATAGAATTCAAGATATATTTTCAAGAATTGTACCTTCAAGAATTGATTGCAAAATATTCGTGTGGGTCGTTACCTCTGTAATAAGAGAACGGCGCGGACTTGGCTCGTTTGAAATGTGACAATATGTTAACGACAGACATGGTAACTTTTTTTTGGTGCTGTTAAGAAACTGAAAGAATGTTATAGTTGGGGTCGGCCTTTTCTTGTTGGAACAGAGAGGCGAACTTGCCACGTAAAATGCCTACACTTTCAACATTATTATTTTTTTGGGCTATGTCTTGTGATTGTTTTGTATGATTAGCAGTCGCTTGTTGTAAAATAGTTTTTGTTTATTTTTCAAATAAGGACGCATCTCATGTTTACAAATAGTACCAATGAAATTTCCGTTGCCGCCGTTACCGCTATCAGTAAATAAAAAGTCAACATCAATAATAATTTATTCATTACTGTTATTTCCGTCCGTGAAGTTTGTGTGATTAATATTACCAACGCCTATATTTATTACGATATTAGAATTGACAGTTACAAAGGTTGAACTTATGTTTAATATTTGATTAGTTGCTGTGCTTACTGTGTATCATATTTTAAAACTAATAACATTTCTATTTGACTCAATTACCCGTGGAACCGAGCAACATGTTTTTGGAGAAAGAACATTGGGACAATAGGTTATCCAATTGAAGCAGGTTATCAAGAACTTCATAACTGCATACCTTAAAAGAACAACGCACAGGTGGTGTACGTCTAGAACGATTTGCCTTGACTGATGTGATTAGCTTCGAGTTCGTACATTATGCCGAATTTATCACTTATTGCGCGGTATTTTTTTTTAATCTTTGGTCTTTCTTTCCAAAGTACGTTAGCTGTGCTAAAACATTTACTGATCAACATGTGAAGATATTTCAGCAATATAAGTGTAAAAAATTTTGCAAAGAATGGACAACCTTAACGTGGGGAGACTAACATCTTGAAGACTTTCGTACATAATGGAGGCAAAGCGCTCTGCATACCCATAAAAATATGGTATGTTCAAACGAAAAACTCGACCATTTGCCAAAGTAAATACGATGTTGAAGATTATTTAAGGAAAAACACGGTGGAAAATCTGGGTCGAAAGCCCAACGAAGCATAAGCGAACGGGTTTATAGTTAGTCGAAGCACCAAGCAATGACAAAGCGATTCATTACAGCTTAACTTATAATAAAAACAATCCCTCTTCTGCAATTGACAATAAAGAGCTAACCACTCGCGTGCGAGGTATTGTTGCCACTCCCCAAAATCCAACACTCACTTAAAATAGAAAGGAATTGTCTGAATGTGCGCGTACTGACAAAAAGCTTATTTAATACAACGGATATGAAGACGCTAATCGAGACGATGATAGTAACCTATATGATGACTGCGAAAGCACAAATTTTAAATTTGATGAGAGCCTGCTACTTTATAAAGAAGCGAATAACAAAAACGATGGATACGGTGGAGACTAAACTATCAAAAACACGAAATTGCCAAATCCCAAATAAAAAATTGTCGAGAATTCAATGACCAAAGTTGACATTGCGCATAAAATCGATCTGTTCTACGTACCTGCGACAAGGATTTTCGGAAAAAGTTCGAATTAAGGTAACCTAATACGTTGAATATTAAAAAGAACCTGCCTGTGAACCTGCATGTGCAGGTGAAGGCATATATCTGATTGAGAGTTACCAAAATTAACAAAGTCACTGCAGCTGGGGTTGAAAATGTCAAAGAAAGATCTTCGACAAACCGAAATTATAGCTTCTTAGAACGCTGGGTGAATAAAACAATTCTTAAGTTCGATATGACTGAGCTTGCACCAGCTAACATTTGCCTAGATCCCATGTTCGTAAGATTAACATTTCTTCACTTTTTATAGACCAATAAAATTTTGTAATGGGCATATTAAAACATTTCGAAATGAAAAATTACACATCTACTCATTTTCATTCCTCATTTCTTACCCAATTTAATAGCAACTATAATGGAGAACATTAGAAAGCAGCTAAAATGACATTACTTGATCTCAAGAGAACACACAATTATCATTCATTCTATATGTAGTTACATTGGGATTTATATAGCGCAGTAATGCAGGGATAGGCGTTCCAATCCGCAATTGGTGGTGCAACTATTAATTGAGAACCAACAAAGTTATGAAAGGTTGCCCTCTCATGCACAGAATATGAAAATTTATTCAGGAGCTACGAAAAGCTGTATATGTAAAATTGGTTTGAATGTTTAATTTCGTAAAACTATCCGAATAGCCGAATGTAGCCAAAGTGCAAAGACGGAAACTTGCCAAAAATGGCAGTTACACGGTAAGTACATAAATAATCGATATCAGTTAAAAGGTGAAACATATATTTTCGGCGAAATCTACTATTAAAAATTTTGAGCTTTGTGATGGGCTGATATATTTTACAAAAACATTAAACACACGCTCATAACAATAATAAATGTATCAAACAAATAGCTCATACAACTTTTATTGCATATTTCTACATTTTACTGTCGCTAAACATACTTGCATTTTCTCACAAAATCGACATAGATGATTAAAATCGACCAGAAATGGGTTATGGATTAATTTTTTGAAATTGGAAGAGTACGCCATAACCTGATAACTTTTAGATCGATAATATTATAATACATCATCTTTTCAATTTGAAATGAAAAACAACATAACGCAGTACCTTTTTTTTTTGTTTCACTTGCCTGTTTCATGCAATTCATATTTAAAATATAGTTCCAAGTAAGAGACTTTGGAATTAGAGCATTCGCCCACTATTTTAACATTTAGTTCATCAGTAACACAATTAACATCAGTTTTAAGATCATGATGCGTTTACCGTTTATTGGAGTCTAATCGGATTGTCTCTTTGATCAGCTCACTGTGACATTTCTAAAGGTTATATAGTTATAGAACTTTGTGTTTCAACAATATTATTCGGGTTTTCTTCGCTACAATAGGATACTTTTCCTTTTTTATACAATAAAAAAAGAGTAGGCCGTTAGGTTGTCAACCTAGTTTTGTGGCCATTTATCAATCACACTACATCAGTCAACAGTCAGTTACAAGAAAAGATAGGTTTCTCGTAAGTAAACTAAAGAATTATGATGGATTTGGACGGTGTCTATGAATACCACCACTTCTTTCTAAGAGAGACCGAAGATTCATAACGACGATTGATATGAGTAATTGACGACTCTGTTAAACGATTTTAGTACAATTTTGAAGCTATGGTTTCAAAAAAACCTAAAAAGTATTAGTTATTTGTTAACAGTGGTCGAGCTCATTGACCGATTTATCTAAGTTTCGGCACATGATTTTATACAGATAATGCTGATTTTCGCTCAAAACATTGCACCAAATATCGACACCAAGTTTTACTTCAATGAGCGGCACAGACTACGAGCTAATCTCCTTCTTATTATGGGCCAGGGAATCACACTTTCAAACCTGATCTAAAGTCAACAAATATATGCCAAAAAAATATATATATACCGAATAAATATCAGCTTCGATTTTACAGTAAGAGTTCGAGCAATGACATGGCTAAACTGGCTCATTATTTTCCCTTGGCCATGCATATATTTTGGGAAAGACCAACCGAGCATATGAGCATGTTTTGTTACGTGCAAAAGGGTTAATTGAGAACTTCTATATTCCAAATGCTAGTTAAAATACCACTAAATTTTTTATTCATTATTTGTTAAGTGTTGCATGCCCTCACCATCGTCTAACACTTCCAATTCATATCACTTTAAACGACAATCGTTTCAGTTCCGCCCAAGTTGTCGAAACACAAAAAGTCCTTTTATAATTCAATAAAAATAGAATGATGTGCATGAATTTTATGTGAGCGAAGAATTATGTTCTGCCGGTTATGTACAATACGTATGAAAACACATTTCGGAGAATTGTTGCTTATAAGTCATTGCTGTTCTGTTTTATAACATATGTTTCCTTTTATAACAATTCGAGATTTATGCAAATTTCTGATGAGCATAAGGTGCTTAAATTTCGAAGATATTGTAAATGATTAGAAGGATAAAATCCTTCTATCATATTTTTTATTCCTGTTTTTGAGTGAAAGCTACAAATATACATATATTTAGTGACTGCCTACAGGATGAAACGAAGCTCAAAAATGCATAAATAAACTGCGCAGTCGTCATTACAATTTACCCTAAGGCGAAAGTAGTGCTTTAACTTATATTTCTTCAAATTGCAGTTTAACCCTCTTAAAAGACTAAGTTACATACAGAACAAATTAAATTTTCATTTCTGGGGAGAATGACTTTGATCTGTACGAACATACATAGAACATTTAACGTTTTAGGTTTTCCAATAGCATAAAATTTTATAATTATATAAATATATAAGCAGATAAAATATTAAAATTCCTACCAAAAAATGTTTAGACATGGCTTTTTTAGAAATTATATCAGTTCTTTCACTCTTAATAGAATGGAGGCGGAATTAGCCTTGTTTATGCAAATTATCAGTTACTCAGGTATGATAAACGTTGGAATTGTTTGTTTTCATGAAATGAGCGATCATAATTCCTTCCATTATTTGTTGGCGTGTATTGATGCACTTCCATTTATATATACTGAAAAAAAATCAACATCTCACATTCAACCACCGGTGATGTCTCTTTGGCATAGAGGATGTTTACATTTTTTGCGGCTTCTCGCTTCTTTTTACTGATTTAAAATACCTCTTGTACTCACCACTCTTGGCAGAATCGAATGCCAACAAAACCAGGTCCATCCGAATTACCAGCATCAAAAATTGTCGACATTATTTAAATGCCTTTATTTATTATTTCAAATTATCACTTACTAAAATATGATGTAACACGTAAGTAAAAAACCTAGACATGTGATCAAAACAAATAAACTGAAGTTTGCGAAGTTTTCGACAATAGTAACACAATTGAACAGGAATGCAATGCAATTGAGATGAAATGAAATTTAGGAAAACCTCTAGAGCAGATATTTGATTAAGTGCCCGGAAAGTTAGGGTCATGTAAAGTCTTACGAAGACGGTAGTAAAACATAGATTATTGGCTGGGGAAAACCAAAATTTTTTATAATGAAATTTTTAATTTTATATCAATCGTGCCCGGATTATTGTATCCATTATATAACAATTAAAAATGAATGAAGTGAAAAATTGTTATTTTAAAAGTAATATACCACTAGCTTAGCTCAATGTTAAAAAGCTAAACCCGTGTGCTTGTTCTGCAGATTGCTTAAGGAAATTTTTATCACTTTAACAGATTGCTTGAGGGAATTTTCATTTAACAGACTGCATGAGGTAATTTATTGAAATCAACTCTGTGCATTTTCCTATAAGCGGCTAGAACAGCCTCCAAAAATTTGAATATGGATACATCTTTAGCATTCGATTTTACCCTATTTTCAAAAAAAAAA